TCATTAACTATGCAAAGGCATTTGACTGTGTGGATCATAACAAACTGTGGCTGACTCTGAGAAGAATGGGAATACCAGAGCACTTGATCGTGCTAATGAGAAACCTATACTTGGACCAAGAGGCAGTCGTCAGAACAGAGCAAGGAAACACTGCATGGTTCAAAATTGAGAAGGGCATATGCCAGGGATGTGTCCTGTCTCCACACCTTTTCAACTTGTATGCAGAACAGATCATCTGGGAGGCTGGGCTCTATGAGGAGAAATGTGGGGTCAACATTGGTGGAAGATCTATCAACAATCTGCGATATGCAGATGATACAACCCTGCTTGCTGAAACTGAGGAGGATCTGAAGCGCTTGCTGCAGAGGGTCAAGGACCGTAGCCTCCAATATGGATTGAGGCTCAATGTCAAGAGACAAAGATTCTCACCACGGGACCAAATGGCAGCATCAGGATGGATGATGAAGAGATTGAGACTATTCACAGCTTCAGTTTGCTTGGTTCCACAGTCAACACTTTCAGCACCAGCAGCTAGGAAATTAGAAGACGTATTGCCATGGGAAAGTCTGCTGTTAGGGACCTCTCCAAAGTTCTGAAGAGCAATGGTGTCTCTTTGGAGACTAAGGCGCGGTCTTTGCTATCACTTGTTATGCATCAGAGAGTTGTACAATGACTAAGGAGGATAGAAGGAGAATTGATGCCTTTGAGTTATCATGCTGGAGAAGAGTTTTGAATGTACCATGGATTGCCAAGAAAACAAACAGATTCATCCTAGAGGGTTAAACCAGGCTGCTCCTTGGAGGCAAGGATTCTGGGGCTTCGTCTGACATGTTGTAATGAGGGATCAGTCCTTGGAGAGGGACATCATGTTTGGGAGGGTGGAGGGACACCATAGAAGGGGAAGACTCTCTATGAGGTGGACTGACTGAGTGACTGGGGTAATCGGGATGGGTGTGTCAGAGGCAACGCGATTGGTAAAGGATAGAGCAGGTTTTAGGTCTGTTGTACATAGGGTCGCTATGAGTCGCAAGCAACTCAACGGCACATAACAACAACATTAATTTATTGATGCAATCATTTTTAAAATATCTTCTACAAAATGTTAGTTTTGTGTGATTTGAATGATACGGTTCTAGAATCCTTATCTTCTCCTGAGTCATATTTATTGTAATGGGCATAAATAGGAGTCTCTTTCATCTGGTTGGCCATGTCACTTTGTTCCATTCTTTGATGGTGAGGTGTAATCCATACTGAAGGTTGCAGTCTTTGATCTCGTAAAATACTTCAAGTCTTCTCTACCTTCTGAAAGCAAGGTTAGGGCATTGCACAACACAGGTCGTTGACTTCCTCCAATCCTGATTCTTCTTCATACAGTAAAGATGGTAAAGATGCTCAATGATTTACTCAGCATACAGATTGAAATTTTGTTGCTATTTCCTGTCATTCTGGACCCAACTCAGAGCTGACTCTCCAGTGTGTTTTCAGAGGCTGGAAATTACACAGAAGGAAACTGCCCATCTGTCTCCTGAAGGGCTGGTGGATTCAAACCAAGTTCTTTCAAGTTAGCAGAACAACTCCTTACCACTAAGCCAGCAGAGTTCCCTAAAGATTGAATCAGTATGGAGGAAAGATACTACTCTGACACAGATTTTACCTGATTTTAAGTCATGCAGTGTTCCCCCATTCTGTTAAAAAAAAAAAAGTCGCCTCTGAGTCTATTGTTAGTTTTGCATGAGCACAATTAAGTGTTCTGGGCTTTCTATTTTTCTCAATATCAGCCATAATTTGCTATTATCCAGTCAAGTGCAAAGTCAATAAAACACAAACATCTTTCTTATATTCTGAGCTTTCAGCCAAGATCAATTTGGTAGTAGCAATGATATTCCTCATGTCACAGCCTCTTCTGGATCAAGTATGAATTTCTGGAAGTTCTGAGTTAATGTCATGTTATAGTCATTTTAAACAATTTTCAGCAAGATTTTACTTGTATGCAATGTTAATGATATTGTTCAATAATTTCCGCATTCTGTTGCATCAACTTCCCCCCACCCCCAGTCAGTTGTCCAGGTAGCTGTCTTCCAAATTCCTGGGCATATAGACTAATGAGCATATCCAGGGCTGCATCTGTTTGTTGAAACATGTCAATTGGTATTCCATCAATTCCTAGGCCTTATTTTTTGCCAATCTCTTCAGTGCAGCTTCTTCACTCATTACTACTGGTTCATAAGTATATGCTATTTCCTGAAATGGTTCTATTTTGATCAATTCTTCTTAGTACAATGACTATGTAATTCATCTTTTTTTGATGCTTTCTGCATCATTCAAGATTTTGCTCACAGAACCTTCTGTATTGCAACTCCAGGTTTCTATTTGTTCTTCAGTTCTTTCAGCTTGAAAAATGTCAAGAGTGTTCTTCTCTTTTCCTTTTTAATTCAAGTTCTTTGACCATTTCATTATAATACTTTGTTTTGTCTTCTCAAGCGCCCTCTGAAATTCCCCTTCATTTCCCTAATTTCAGCATTCTTTATCATCAGTAGGCTGGTTTAACCTAGTCTTCCAGGCTTTAGTTTTGACCCAAATCCAATTCTATTTTTTTTTCATTCTGCTTGCAAGAAAAACTTCCAGAGCTCATATGTGTCTAGGCTAATTCTTGTTTAAAATTCTTTGTTTCCCACTGCCCCAAAGACAGAGCTCAAATTCCTGAAGGGCGTGAATCATCTGTGCTGTGCTTTCTTTCCTCCACTATTCTCTTTCCCATCTGGACTTTTTAAGTTGTTTTGCATACCTACAACAATTCTGTCTGCTCCTCCTTTGCCTGTCCTCTCATCTTTCAATGTTTTTGCTAATCTTTTCTGGTTGTGGTGGTTTTGCTGTGTGCCGTCAAGTTGGAACTGACCCACAGCTCACCCTCCAGTGGGTTTTCAGGGTCACTAAATTGCATGAGAAGAGAGTGCTCATACTTCTTCTGCAGAGCAACTGATTGGTTCAAACAATGTGGCTTTGGGATTTCATCCTCCAAGACTCATTTAGAAGCCCTTCTCAAAATAACCCAACCTTCCTTTATCAGAGCACACACCACCTTTGTAGTATTAGTGCCCAGTTATATACCAGTCCTGTTACTAGACGTAGGACCCTCCCTGGGAGCCTGAAGGGGAGGGATCATATTTCAGTTAACAATGTACCTAAAACATTGCTGTGAAATCAGAATTAATCCTTAGCTGACTCATCAGTGGATTTTGGAAGCTGTAAATTGCATGGGAAGAGACTGCCCAACTTTCTCCCTCGGAGCTACTGGTGAATTTGAACTGCCCAGGGGTGTGGCTACCTTCGGGTTAGCAGTGCAATTCAGTATTGACTGCCACCAGAGCTCCCTGGCTGACACACAAAAGGATCATAATAAGGGGAGGAAATAGGGAAAGGAAGAGGAAAGGAAATCAACCACAACACAAGGGGAGCTTGTTCTCACGAATGCCTGGAAGATGGCATCTCTACTGGTTTAGAGCAGAGCGTCTGTGGTTTCAGCCCCAGGAGACAAGGAGCTGTGTGGGTGCTTGCAGTTCTAGAGTAGAGGCTAAGGACCACAATTCCCAATGAAGGGACGTGCCGGGAGAGACCGACATGGGATATATAACTTACTAAAAGAGCATCTTCTCCCTAGCCTGGGGGTGGGGAGGCTCCTCAGCCCCACCCAAAGCATCTCACCCCCACAACATGTTCAGGGTGGATGTGGCCCTACAGGTGAAAAGGACTCTGCCTTCACCCTTCCAGCCCACTTAGCAATTGCCCCCTTCCTGCCCCGGGGGCCCAGAATGTAGATATTGTACAAAAGTTTCTAAATCCCGTCTTTTCTATGCACTTTTTTATTTAAGAGGTGGGGGTCCCGGGTGGGAACCCCTCCATAATAAAGTCTGTCCATGTTTGGAAAAAAGAAAGAGCCTCTAGCTGTGGTGGGAGAAAACAGGAAAAAAGAGGGAACTGTATGTGTTGCTCTTCAAATAAAACCAGAGTCAAATGTTACTTTCATTAAGGGGACCTTAACAATTCAAGTATCTTCTTTTAATGAATGGTGTGAACTTGATTAACGATGTTCAAAATAAGTTTTGGGGAACCCTAGGTTTCTGAAGAAGCCTTCGCAGGGAAAAAGAGAGGTTTATAAGCTAACATGGCCCCCAATTTTAACCAGATAAAAATAGTTTGGCATATTGAGCTTCTAATTAAAGTCCTTTTTTAAAAAATCATTTTTCTGCTAAAAATAGGTTTGCACGACCTCTCTGATACCTCCCAATAATAATTGCTCTTTCTCCTTTGAGACAGATGGTACCCGTCTGGACACTGAATTTTACTTATTGCAAATGCCCCTCAGTTGTATTGACGTGCATCGGCAGCACTTCCTAAAGCTCACTGTCCTGCGTAGAGCACAGGAAAGGTAAATATACTTAAGGCCAAGAGCACTGCAAAGTCAGAGCAATAATGAAATGCTCCCTGAAGTTCCACCCCACAGTGATAAAGAGGCTCTTCAACAAAGTTTTCTATACCCATGGTCGAGAATTCATTGTATAGGTGTCCTGGGTCAGACACAAAGATGTTACAGGTTAGAAATAAAGAATATTGGATCCAGAGCCTATTAAAAAAAGCAATCCAATTCCAATCAAGAAAGAACAATGCAAAAGTTTATCTAGTCAGTCCACCTGATAGCCTAATTACCATTCAAATGTAGTGCCTGCTCTTCTTAACAAGGTATTCTGAATGTGCCAAAGAATAAAGCAGAGTTACTGTCATCATATTCTTTAAAGTCTACCTTTATCTGAAGGATACAGGCAGGAAATGACTTAGATTGGGAGGGAGATGGGAGTCTTACAAAAAAAGATCTTCAAAGCCCTGGCTTTAGAAGGAGATTCCTTTTCTGTGCTACTCCTTGGCTGACCGTATTTCATGGGGCATTTAGAGGTCACAGATATCACTCTACCCAATTCTAAGAGACAAGGAAAAATAATGCAATCTTACCTGGGTCCTTCTTCGTCACCCTGGAAGATAAACAGAAAGAAACAGCATTACAATTAGGAACAAGTAGAGACCAATTTATAGGTTTATTTTTCTCTCCCTTTCCAACTGGAAAACAGAGGTTGTGCATTTATTTTAGCAGACAAACCAGTAGATGTCTAGGAGTGATGACAAGGGTTAATCTAATCCTATGTCCAAACTGCCCAGCAGAGGCAAACTGATAATTTGTCCTTGCAAGAACATAAGTGAAGGTGCAGACCTAGGAGGCCTAAATAATAGCCTTGCCTTTTTATTTGTATGGCTGGCCTTATTTAGTTCTGAGCAAACTGAGAGCTCAAAATAGTAGCAGGTCTTAGGCAAAAGCAGACCAGCTCCAAAAGCATCAAGCTGTTTCCTTCAAAGATACATCTCTGCCTTGGTCTAGCATTTTTCCTCCAAACACAACACAGAAACTTTAATACATAGCACATGATGGCAGAAAGGGCACTGAAATGGGATATAGGAAATTGGAATTTTAGGCCAAGATTTGCTGTTTATTAGCTATCTTCCCTAGGGCAAGCTTATTCGTTAATTTGGACCTTGCTTGGTCTCCTTTGTAAAAGGGTAGAATTACATCATTCTTTATACAAACAATAGTTTTCCTCTTATCCTTGCTCATTTTTTGTGAAAATGATGTGTGAGAGTTATTGTCCCAGGTAGAGTATTTTATCAGCCTTTGTTGGTGATCACAGCAGATTCCTCTGAGCCTTTTTTTCTGACCAAAAGAGATTTTTCAAATGATTCTCAAGCCTTTTCCAGGGCACCTCACTCACCTTTTGACAGAACATCTTTTACATCCTTGTCTATGGCCATCTAGGGTTGGGCTCAGTAGAGAATATATCTTCTTACTGTTGATAACTCCTCAAAGAATTAATTTATCAATTTTCTTCTAGTTTATACAGGCATAAAGGAAAATGAATTCTGGAATCAGATAATCTGGGTCCAAATCTTGGCTCTAGAACTTGTGTGCTTATTATCCTAACCAGGTTACCCTGCCTCTTCAATTTCTTAATTTGTAAAATGGAATAGTCAGTATTCTTGTACCACAGAACAAATATGAAGATTTAATAAAATAACATGTACAAATATCAAGCACTTAGAGCCCGAGTACATTTACTAAAGGTTACTTATCATTATCAGTGGCAACTCATTATGATTTACTGCGAGAGAGCTGCTGTTGAATCAATTCTGCCTCATGGCCACCCTATGTACAACAGAAGAAACACTGCCCAGTCAGTCTGGTGTTACCCTCATAATTGCTGGCAACTTTAAGTCCATCACTGTGGCTACTGTGCCAATCCATCTGAAGGTCTCCCATACACTCCCTGGCCCACTATGTCACCAAACATACTGTTCTCTTGCAGCAAGAGTTCTCTGATGGTGATACATATAAAGCAAGCAAGTCGGGCACTGTTCGGTCATGAGTCTAAGGTTTTCATTGGCTCATATTCAAAGGTAGATCACTGAGCTTTTCTTTCTAGTCTGTCTTAGTCTGGAAGCTCCACTGAAACTTGTTTACCAGGAGTGATCCCACCGGTTCTTGAAACCTCAGAGGCACTGCTTCTAACAACACAAAAACCACCACAACAAACTGACAGACAGGAGATAAATCATTTAGGGGGTTAAATGTAGGGACTTAGAATAACAGAATAAATTAATAATACATAACAGCATAATCTCCTAGGATCTCCAAACAGCAGGAGAAAAGGGCAGAATAAACCATTAAACATGACTTAAATGTGTTAAGAGACCAAAGACATGACAAAATGTTCTGCGAGTCAGAAGGAAGGATGAATGCCGCCTGGAGAGGGTGAGACAGGACTCAAAGAGATGTTAACATTTATATTAGCACTTATTTCTCCTACTTATGGATTTCCAGAGGCCAACAACTAAGAAAAGTAGGAAGGGCTCTAGGTTAGTAAGAACAGACATACTCACACGCACTATTTTGATTTCTATGAAACTAGAGAAAGGGGCTATCAGTGTCTATGGCTTGGGTGAGGGTCTGGAGCCAGGGTCAGGGGTAGGAGGATAAATGTGTAAAGAGACTGTCAAGCACAAATATGTAAAGACAGCTTCGGTCAGAAAGACTATTTAAATCAGATCACACACCAGAGGCTGAAAAGGGCATTTTTAGCAGACTGTTAAGGATTTGCAGTAGTGGAGAGGGAGCTAATCATGCGTTCTTTAATGAGAGAGAAATAGGACAAATGGTACGGAAAGGGTATAGGAACAGTGAAGTTTCCTTTGCATTTTGATTGACTAGTAGGTCTTATGGGAACTATGATCTAATATGAAAAAGTCATATAATTTAAATTTAATATGAGTTACATAACTATCAGTGACAATTAAACCTCAATACAATTTTTCAATTATCTTTGGATGTTTAAACATAATTATCTAGGAGAAATTTATGGGAAAATGTATCCAAACTTTCTCCCAAGAATTAGAGTAAGTCCTCCTCATAATCACATATTTTGGTGAAACAGATGAAACACAGACTTTCTAAGTCAGAGAAAGATAGGTTCAAATTCTATTCCATCAATTCCAACATAAAAGGTTTTGATGAGTGTCAAGAAGCTGCACTGCAATCCCAGAGGCGCACAGTTCGAATCCACCATGCTCTACTGGAGAAGGAGGGGCAATCTCCTCCTGTACCAGTCAGATCCGATTTGACAGTACACACACACATACACACACACACACACACACACACACAGTTTTGATGATTCACTTTGGTTTTTGTGGTTTAGTTTTCTCATCTGTACATGGAAAGCCTAACTCTTACTTCACATGGCTTTTATGTGGATGAAAATAAGGAAGAAAACGTGTGTAAACCACTCAAGTCTGTGTCTAGTATAGCAGCTTAACAAGTGATGGTAGAAATGACTGTACTTTCCCTGAACTGTCAATTACATCTATAAAGTAGAGACAAGAAATCAAAAGATGTGTTGCCTTGGGCAAATTTTCTGTGGAGAACTTTTTGAAAATCCTAAAGAGCAAGGACATTAGTTTAAAGACTCATCTAAGCCATTGTGTTTTCAACTGCTCTACATGCATGTAAAAGGTGAACAACGAATAAGGAAGACTGAAGAAGAACCGATTCGGCCTTTGTGGTGTTGGGTGTTGCCACAAGCTGCCAAAACAATGAACAAATATCTTTCTTGGAGGAAGTGCAATCAGAGTGCTCCTCAAAGGTACAAACAGTGAAACTTCACCTGACATATTTTAGGCATGTTCTCAGTAGAGGCAAGACCTTGAATAAAAGATATTGTGCTGGTGAAGAATACAGAGTGGGCAAAAGAAAGGAAGAGCCTCAATGAGGTAGGAGGGCACGGTGACCACAATGATAGGTTTGAGCATGGTGGAGATCATGAAAATAGCACAAGATAAAGCAAGGTTTACATCCACTAGTCACAGAGTTGATGAGAGTCATGGTTAACTTGATGGTACCTAACAACAGAGAGTAGACAAAGACATGGAGGACAAGGTTTTCCTTTCTATTCATTATCTCTTTTGTTCAAAAATATGTGGTTCCTTTCCGAGACAAGAGTCACTATCACAATGGAAGAAAGAGGGTCAGGTTAAGAGTTTCACAACAGAAAGGATAAATAAATGACTGAAAGCGCATGCGCGCGCGCGCACACACACACACACTTGACTGTAAGGGCTTTCTCAGGAGGTCAGTAGATATTCAGAAGACTGCTAATCTTGACAGTAAAATAGGTATGTATACTATTCTTACTAGCCAAAAGTACAATCTTACTCTGAAAGCCTGGGTAATTCCTATCCATTCTTTTAAGACCATGTCTGAAACTACCCCTCACTGATCACTTAAGTGTAATCTCTCTCCGTCCTCCATGTGTACAGTGCATACTTCTAGGTTAGTACTTCATGAAATAGTATGACAACACTGTACAATGTGTCTCTCTTTGAAAGGTCTCAACACTTAGAGAACAGAACCTGTTTTATTCAGCTTCGCAGTCACTGCAAGTCACTTGTAAGTACAAGAACATAGAAAGTAATTATTCAGGAATGGAAAAGAGAGGGCAAGATAGAAGTAGGATTTAAGAAGATTAATTTCTAGTCTCATTACGAGTGAATTCCAGATCTTAGAAAATCAGAAAACCAGAAGTCAAAGTCTGTTAAATATCATTTAAATGACCTATTAGATTAGGCAATGCTCCCAAAACTCTTTAAAACATATTCATTCCCATGACACACAGAATGCTCTCAACTATTATGATCTACTACAATCTCCCATTTCTACTTTCACTAGTAGAAACATATGTTTACCAAGAATCAAGTATGTATTCTCAAGTTTGTATGCTGGTCAACTTTTTAATTGCCATTGCTGTTGTGTGCCTTCAAGTCAACAACTCACAGACACCTATGAACCTTCCTTCTTCTAAGCCAACTTCCTGTCTCTGACACAGATGATCCCACTGCTGCAGTCACTGTGTCAATCCGTATCGTCCAGGGTTCTCCTCTCCTGTGCTGATGCTCTACCCTTCTACATATGATATCCTTCTCCAAAGACTGGTCACTCCTGGAAACAAGCCCAAATTATATGAGATGAAGTTTCAAAATCCTTGCCCCCAAGGATCAACTTGGGTTTCACCCTCTCCAGAATAGACTGTTTGTTCTCTTGCTTTTCTCCAGCACCACAACTAAAAGGCATTGACTCTTTTTTTTTTATCCCTAGTCACTGTCCAGCTCTCAGATGCACAGGAAGCTATTGAGAAGACCATGTTGTTAGGTGGCTCTAAACCTCAGCCTATCCTGTACCAAACTCATGATCTTGGATACACTTGAGAACATGGTCAGTCACTGGGTCCAGTCCACCTTGTTGAGTCTTCCCCTCTCTGACTTTGCACCTTTTCCAGCATCATGTCTTTTTCCAGGGACAGGCCCCTCCTGACAATATACTCAAAATGTGTGAGAGAAGTTCCTTTCATCTCTGTCTCTAAAGAGCACCCTAGTT